CACTATAAAATATTAAAGGGAATGTAAAATGCTTAAGACTTAATGATAGAGTTTAATCTGCTATGGATTATTGTTTTAATTATATTATAAACTTATCATTTTTCTATTTTAAAATGTAGTATGTAGCTTTAGAATGTGCTAAGCAGAATCAGAACGAAAATTATATATTATTTTAACTGTTAAATTTAGGGGAAAGATATAAAGGCGTCATACTTCAATCAGTGATTACAGGAGAAATATTGTGTTAACGAGAAAAGAAAAATAGATAATTGAAACAGAACGGACAAAAGATATAAGCATAATGATTTAAATTGAGATGAAATAAATAAAATAGAATTAAGAGAGTGAAAAGAGAGGAGAAGCCATATAGAAAATATAGAATGGTAAACAAGATATGAAATGGTATATAAAGTGAGCATGAATTTGATTTATGTCTGTATGAAAAGATGTAACCCGGGACTAAGCCGCTTTCCAAAAAGAAGTTTTATGTTTTTGTGTTTTGTTTGTGTATGTTTGTTTATTGAAAATTAATAAAATTTCTTAAAAATAAAAATTTGGAAAATGAGTTAAACATTTTTCAACATTCTTCTTTAGGATTGGATAGAATTTGAAGAAATAGCCGATTTAGAGGAGCGTGCAAAGAGCCAGTTCTTTGAAAAAGTACATGAAGAAGTTGTGTTAAAAACTCAAGAAGCTGCTAAGGAGAAGGAGTTTCAGAGTGTCCCTGCGGGCCCAGCTGGAGTGGATGAGGTAGGCATTGCTCTGTTATAACTGGCTTCACGCAATTGAAGTTTTTAAGTTGGCGTAATTGTACTGCAGTCCTTAATTTGACACTTACCATTTTACTAGCACTTAGAATATATAAAAATAGATCCATGTGGGTTTGACATTTGTACGATTTTTAAAAAGGCCCACTATGAAAAATCACATACATAGATGTTTACAATATTTTACAATAAGAAAATGTACTGAATTTTTCCCCAAAATTTCTTCTTTGAAAAAATTCATTCACTGCTTGTCTTTGGACTTCACATTCTAAAACTTTGTGGTAGCAGTAATTTAGAGTCACGACCAGCATTTGGAGATGACAGTGGATTTTAAAATCGTTTCCCAAATGATATATCTTATCTATACATTAAAACTCCGGTGTCTTGTTTGTAACCTTCGGTTGAGCGAAATGATGCATTAAGCATCCATTTCTGAACCAACATACCTCAAATAGGTTAATTTACAGAATGCCAAGATGCCTTACTCTTGGGGGAACAAAATTTGGGGAAGTTGTAGCCACTTGGCACCACTGTGTTTCTGCTGCTGCTTCAGCACTGCCACGGTCAGCTGTAGTGCTTATTGTCATTTCCAACAGTCCCCGACACAGTCAGTTGCAATTGTCCTTTACATTGATTGCTCACAGCTTTCCACAAGCAAAGTCTTTGCTTCTGGGAAGCTAGCAGGGAGCATTGGCAACAGAGAAGGTTGCAAGTTGCTTGAGTAAGGCCTGTGGCAAGTTGACTGTGGCAGATTGTCCTATTCTGGGCTAGGAAGGGGGTACAAAGTGTGGGAGCTGTGGTAAAGGTCAAAAAAGGTATGGGTTATATGAGTTACGTAAGGAAATACCTTTGAAATAAGGATTCAACAGGTATGGGGTTGTTTAGTTACAGTAGTAGTAATGCCAGCCTACAAAATGTCTGCATTTGTCATGGGCCGGCTAATCTTAGGTGGAAAACGAAATTGTTTTGCTACTCATCTGAAAATATAAATGACACTTTGTAAGTATCACTATATTTAATTGCTTTCAGAGCTGTGAAATCTGCCAGGAGCAGTTTGAGCAATATTGGGATGAGGAAGAGGAGGAATGGCACTTAAAAAATGCAATTCGTGTAGAGGAAAAGGTAACATTGCATCTCTTTGTGTACGCAGTCTGCTTAAAAATGTCTATTTTGGCTTGATACGCTATTGTTATTTCTATCCATTTTAAGAATTGGTATCCTTGAAAATATTCCCTTCTAATCATGCCCATGCTGACTTCCATCCACCTACTTCGGTGAGATTTGCCACAGGTCCAAAGAAGATTGAATCAAAAAGAGTGAAATATCAGCAAAGGAAAGAATAACAGCTACGACTTCCTATTTTTATAGAAATAGTTCAGAGAGAAAGATGCCCCTTGGAGAAGGGCAGATTGTTTTGCAATATACTTTGTGTGCCCTTTTGTATATTTATAAACTAAGACCGGCCTGCTTTCTTTTTGTAGATCTACCATCCATCGTGCTACGAAGATTATCAAAAGGTAAACAACATCTTCTGTAGGCTTATATATTGAGACTGCAAAAGCTGTTATTTGAATCACTGATTGTTACTTGAGCTTATTTGACTGTAGCAGTAAGAGATAGCAATATCTTCTTAGGTCAGACTGAATATTTCTTGCGGTTGATGATTATATAATCTAGGGCTGATTGACACTGAAGGATACCGGTTAATATCTGGAGTTTACGTGTGCTGAATTAACCATAAAGACAGCTGGTTGAGAACAGGCAGGTTCTATTGTGAAAATCCTAAGTACAGAGACTATGAGCCCCACCTGTTGAAGATGGTTTGTAGAATCATTCTTAAAAATCACAAAGATTTAAGAAATGAATTTTATTTTAGGCTTTTAAACCCTTGCCATCTTGTGAACCAGTGTTGGCTCTGGCCCCTTTTCTACAAGAAATCCCTAGTATTCTAACAGAACAAAAATATTTTACTCTGCTCATGAACAGATAATGAAAGAGTCCACCCAGATTGTGAAAGCACTGTTTTGCTTTTTTTTTTTTTTATCACATTAAAGAAAAAGAAAAAAAATTCTTCAGGGTCCATGCGAAATACGATGTTAATTTTGACTTTCAGGCTTCATCATTTGATTCCACCCCATCTCCAAGCAAGACTCCTGTGGAGAACCCACTAAATATTATGTTGAATATTGTCAAACAAGAAGGACAGGACTCCTGTAACAGCCCCAAAGTCAAAGAAGAACCAGAAGAAAAAGCTGCAGATTGCACGGATGGGAATATACCTGAATCTGCTGAAATTAAAACAGAGCCTCTAAAGGTTGAATCGGTTTAAACTGTGGGTTTCTTTTTTTAAGTCACAGAGAAATGCTTATTGTGTCCTACTGACTCGAATGCAAATAATTTTTATATGAATAAAATGTTTGCCTGGGGCAGGGCCCCAGCTACTGACTTGGTTAATAAATACATTTTTGTATTTGGATTTCTTATTGCCTGCACCGTGTCAGGTGTCTTATCGTGTGGAAGTTCTGTAGATGGCGTACAAATTTAACAGGAATAAGACTGTATATGTAAGAAAAAATGTACATTTTTTTTTCATTTGTGGAAATGTAAATTATAAATAAAAGATATTTTTGCTATCTACGGAGTGTAATGTTTATGCACACCATCCAATGAAACAACACCACCACACTTAACCTTGGGGGTGTTTTAAAGGCGACAGGACTCACGCTCCTACACAAGGCTTGTGCTTGACTAGGATTCTTGCAGACATAAACAAGATTCTTTTGCTGTAAAATTTGATTAAGGAGAAAATTACTGTCTGAAGAAAATTCTTTTGCGAACCTTGAATTGCTTTTCTTAAGCATTCACATTAGGCATTTAAAAAGAAAAGTAGGTTTCCATAACAAATATAACATAGTTCCCTTTGGATACTTACCCACACTTTACATCAGAGCTAGATTCCCATAATTTCAACTACTCCGTACACAAAAAGCTTAGCCCTTCCTTCCTTTTTTCTTTTTAGAGGAACAAATGTAAGATTGCTCGTTTGCAACATGGTTAAACTTTTTTTTTTGTTGGGTTTATTGGATCTAAATAGTAGAAGAGATTACCAAGAAATGTTAATATTTATTTCGTGTAATAAATTAGAATGAACCATATGTACCTGTTTGGAGTCTTTATTTCATGGGTGGGTTTGGAGACGTCCAACTTGCTACCTAGCATACAAATTACAACTGGGGCCTTGAAGTTAAGTGAATTGGATGGGGGTGCATTGGTTGGTTGGTTGAATGTTATTCACAGAACCTGGACTGGAAGGGACCTCACAAGTGACCTCACCTGCCACAACTTAAACCCCTAAATAAAACTAGCTTTCTCAACCGATGGAGCCAAGGATCATTTCTATTTAAGGGTTTAAGGTTTAATTCAGGAGACCTTATTCCATCCCAGACAAATGGCTGTCCAATTCTTTCTCCAGAAATGGGAGCACCCGCAAGTCCAGGAGGCACTCTGTTCCATAGATTAATTGTTCTCACCTGTCAGGAAATTCCTCCTTATTTCCAGATTGGGTCTCCCTCTGAGGAGCTTCCACCCATTACCTCTTGACCTGCCCTTGGGTGCTATGGAGAATAAGTTGACCCTTCTCTGGGACAGCCCCTCAAGGAGTGGATGTCAACTCGTAAATCACTCCTATGCTGTTTCTGAGTTGACATCAGAAAGGGGGAAAGGCCTGACAGCAGTGGGGCAGATGAAGGCCGGAAACACATTCCATACTTATCTTGTGGAGACTGTAGCCTAGGCTACTGGATCTTCTGCCTCCGAAAATCTTTCATTGGAGAATGTGATTGATGACACCCAGCCTGTGAATGTGTTTCATTGGAGAATCTGATATATGACACACACGGGAGGGTGGGGGAAAACAGCATCATAGGTGATAGTAAATAACATGTCTCAGAGTTGGTTTCATATGGGTTAGTGCTGGACATGTTGCTCCTAATCTTTTGAATTCTTTCGAAGCTTGTTTTGAGGCTCATGATTTAATTAGGGCAATCGTCGGAACCCTGACAGCTAGCATGTCACCCCTAATCCTTTTCTTCTTTAGGCCAAGCATATCTGGTTTTCTAAAACGGGTCACCAACCTGTGATCTGTGGACTGGCACCAGGCCCGTGACATGCTAGTAACCGGGCCACGCAAACACGCAAAGTCTCATCCGTGGGATGCAGGCAGCACATGAAACCATGACCCCTCTGGTCCACGGAAAACCCTCCGCGGAACTGGCCCCTGATACGCAAATGTTTGAGGCCCGCTATTGTAAAGTAGTAACATTTCCAAGTTGTAAGTCTACTTTAGGGAAAAAGAACTAAAATTTTCTCATTAAGCGAAGAACTGTCTTAGACGGGGAGCTCTGAACTGCAACTAAACTAATAGACTTGGTAACCCCTTTCTGACTAGTGGGGTGGCGGGGCTTGCTTCACTTCCAATGGCGATTCTCTACTACGGGTTCAGCCACAAAGAAAAGTAGATTGTTGATGGGGAATCTGTAAAATAATGCAGAATGGGCTGTGTGGAAATGGCTTGTAACAGTAGCTTTTGACTTAACCAAAATTAAACCCAACATTTCCGTAGCCGAGTGAGGTGGTTGTGAGGTAAATTTTGCCCCATTTTACGATCCATCATTACCCTGTTTTTAAGCCCAACCTTGCCGTTCTTGCATTAGGAACACAGTCGTTAAGTGAATCTGGCTTCCCCGTTGACTCTGCTTGTCACAAGAAGCGATCGCGCGACCCTGGCAACTGTCACAAATAACAACGTGCAAGGCCGAATTTTGATCACGTGACCTCAGAGGATGCTGCAACGGTGGTTCAGTGAAAAAAAAGTCACTTTTCCAGTGCCGTCGTAACTTCGAACGGTCACTGAACTATTGTAAATTGAAGAGTACCCGTCAACGTGGTAAACAAAATACCGTATTTTTCGGACTATAAGGCACACTTTTCCCCCACAAAAAATGTGGGTGGAAACGTTGGTGTGTCTTATAGAGTGAACACAGGCCTGTTTTTGGCCTCCCGAACCCTCTGCATGGCCCGTTTTTCGCCTCCATTTTTGGCCTGCAGAGCGTTTCTGGATGCCAGGGAGGGCAAAAGGGACGTGCGGAGGCCAAAAACTATTTTTTTCTTGTTTTCCTCCTCCAAACCTAGGTGCGTCTTATAGTCTGAAAAACACGGTCCATAAGATTTTTTTCCCCACTGTGAGCACTTTGAATTCAGTTCACCAGGCGACCTCCAATTAGCAATGGACATCAAGGGTGGCCCATTCACTAGTCTTGTGGGACCAGATCAGATTAGACCAGATGTTAAGGTTCCAAGTAATACATCCCATTCAATAAGAACTCCGAAGCAGGCAAATTCCTCAAAGAACATGTTTTATTGGGACATATCAAATTGGAATATTCCTGGAAAACTGGCTCTGAGATGTCACTGGTTTTTCCCCCAATTAAAAGTCAAACTTCGTCACTTCCCTCCCAGAGACTCCAAGTCACATGGTCCAATCAGCATACAGCCCAGTTGCTAGGTGACCTCAGTTTCCACCCTTTGGACACCTGCACGAGCGTCCTTGGTTCCCACAGGAAAGAATTTTATTTAGGCTACAACACTGCAGTTATCTCTATACCCCACTGCCCTGGCGCCTTCGCTCCAGGCTGTGTCAGCCCTGAAGCAGTGTGAAGAGAAACCTCCCTAGAAAAAAAACTAACAAAAGAAAAATGGCCACTTCAGGGCTGATATCAGATCTACATCAAGGGCTGCCCCATGAAAAGTACATTGCTATAATCCCAATTTTTGAGACTGCAAACTTTGTGGGCAGAGGTGGTATTCAGTCGGTTCTGACCAGTTCTGGAGAACCGGTAGTAGAAATTTTGAGTCGTTCGCAGAACCAGCACATCACACCTCTGACTGGCCCCGCCCCCATCTATTCTCTGCCTCCCAAGTCCCAGCTGATTGGTTGGGTCTTCTTTGGTTGCCCTGCACAGGAGAATGGAGCTGGAAAGCAGGTTAGTGGGGTGGGGAGGGAATGGGGATTTTG